ATTAATGTTCATTATTCAAAATACGTTGTACATGAACTTTGTTTTATGCGCATACGAAGAACATTATTTATATGCATTGTGTGTCAGTTTAATAGTGTCTGTGGCAATTTATAAAACTTCAGGACTAAATATCCTTCAATTGAAATAGTACAGCTAGTATTTTTTCCATCACTGCACCCAGTAAGCTAGAGAACTCCACCATTTCCCAGAGTAACCAACATGCAGGAGGCTTGGTCTTGAACCAAAGAATTACACTACCTTCAGTGCACTCCACTGCCTCATCTGTTCTTCCTTGTTTCAGAGAAAACAAATTGGACATTATAATGCATGACCTTAGGAAGGGCAGCCATTACATGAACACACAGCAAGATAAATATCATAGAAATATGCTGACAAACACAAACAACATATATTAAAATCTCCTACCATTAACAGCATAATGATAAACATTAAATAAAAGTAAAGTAAATAAAACTCAATCAAATCATGCAGTTTATAATGGGGATTGCTAGCTAATATCATTTTTTCCTTTATGTCTGTGACTGTTTTTTTTTTTTTTTTTTTTTTTATTTTGGACAAGGGATCGAACTCAGAATCTTGTGCTTGCCAGGCAGGATAGCTTTTTTTGAAATGTTTTATTAAGAGCCTTTTTCACCAAATTAAATTTTTCTTAATCAAAGCTTTAAAGACTTTATTTCTGTCATAAATATGTAAAATACATAACATTTAAGAATAACTAAAGTGATCTAAAAATAGCTTTTTCCCTTTTTCTGGTAAGGTATGAATGTATAGTATGTGTTTTCTAAAATTTCTATACAAACAATGTAACTCCTCAACACACAAACACTGTCACACCACAGTAGAATTTCCTTTCCTTATGTATGTCAGTTTATACATATGACACTTTGAAGAATACTAAGTAACAATGCTTACCTATGATGATTTCTACCTTTACACTGTCTTGACTATCTCGATCATTATATACATGACACCAGTAAGTTCCTTGATGTTCCAAATCCACATAAGGCACCTGTATCAGCATCAGAACACATACATATTTCCTCAATTTTATTTAAACTGGTTTAGAAAGGGCCAGTCAAATAGTTCAGCAGATTAAAGCACCTGCAAGCAGGTGTAGGGGCCGGGGGTTTGATCCCCAAGCCTGCTGTTCTGGCCCCACCCTGGGGAGTGCTAAGACAGCAACTGAGACTGGGTGTGCTGGTGCACACCTGTAATCCCAGTACTTGGGAGGCAGGCTGTAAACAGGCGGATCACCATGAGTCCAATCTCGTAGTGAGACCCTAAACACTCTGCAGACCCTTCCCTTAAAAATGCAAAAATAAATAAATTTAAAAAATTAAAAAAATAAACTGATCTAGAGAAAAATCACCTTGTGTTTAAAATTTTTTCAAAATGTAACATTTTAAAAGAGTTTAAACATTCTTAATCTCCTTTCATTAACCTAAATATTTGCAAGCAAATGATATGATTCCAATATTAATCAATCTGGTACAACATTAGTTGAAATTTTTTTTTAAATTTTATTTATTTATGTGTGTGTGTGTGTGTGTGTGTGTGTGTGTGTGGCCAGCTCAGCCCACCAGGGGGCGGTGCTGGCTGGCATGTGGTGCTGGGGCATTGAACCGCAGTCCCTGTGCTTTGCTAAGCTTGTTCTAAGTAGGTGCTTTAGACCACTGAGCCGTATCACCAGTCCCAACATTAGTTGAAATTTAAAATGTTGAATTCCAGCATTTTTGTAAATCCCAGGATCAATTTTAAAGACGTAAATAAAAATACTGAAAATATTAAAACACTCCAAATAATGTAAGCCTCGTATTCACTTTAAGTTTTTTTAAAAATTTATTTATTTGTGTGTGTATGTGCGTGTGTGTGTGTGGCCAGCTCAGCCCACGAGGGGGCAGGGCTGGCTGGCATGTGGTGCTGGGGGATTGAACTGCGGTCCCTGTGCTTTGCTAAGCTTGTTCTAAGTCGATGCTTTAGACCACTGAGCCATCTCACCAGCCCTCACTTTAAGTTTTAATCACATAATTTTATACATCAATCCAAAAATATACCCCCAAATCAACTACTTACCATGTATACCTTTTTTGTCTCTTGTGTTAGTGGTGATTCATTTTTGAACCACTGGTAGTGAGGAATAGGGCATCCAATAGCAACACACTGTAAAACCAGTGTGGTTCCTGGCATGAGCTTCTGGGACTTCGGTTCAACACAAATTTGCAACTTGGATTCAGAGATGTCATCCCCATTTTCTTAAATTAAAACAACAAAATCTCAAGGTTAAACATAAAACATTTTCCTCTAATTAAAAAAATTGATGTGTGCAAGTTCACCCCTCAATCTTTATAATATTTCATCAAACCATAGCATTCTCAGGAATGTTAGATGCTCTATGAATAAAAGCATGCTTTTACATTCTTTTGGACAAGTTTACAAAATCCTGATATAAAGTTGGCGGGAAGGCATACTCAAGAAAACAAGCAGTGGGAAGAAACTTAGTGTGGGCATTAAGAGAGGGTAACAGGCCACGCAAGCTGGCAGGGTGGAGGAGTCAAGCAGCAGGGAGCAGACTGAGAAGGGTCAGAGTAATCTTAGGGACTTGCACATGCATGCTCACACAGACACCAGCAAAGCACACAGGATCAAATCTTACTAACCAGACATACTGTACTGGGTGAAAAACACACATGAAATTTTGGTACTGATTTGATACTCTGAGGTTATCTTAAGCACTTAAAATAAGGCTACCTACCAATCAACATTAAATTTCTTTTGTCACTTACTTTGGAAGATTTCTGTTACTTCTGCCACTTCACAAACTTCTAGCTGTGACCACTGGCTGAACTCAAATGTAGAGTTATTATTAACACGACAGACATAAAAGCCTGCATCCTTTACACTCACTGCATTAAAAATAAGTTCTGATGCATTTCCATATGGAATCTATGAAAGAATCAACAAAATATAAATGAATGGCCCATTAAAAAGACAAACGTTGCTGCACAAAGTGTATCATGTCAGTATAGAGCTTTGAATGCATGTATTTTATCTTCCTTCAAGTTCTAAAATATTGTTACTGAAGAAACAGACAATAACATTTGAGTTACTTAGAATTAAATTGTTAGAAATCCAGTTTTTTAACCATTAACCATAAAGGTAAGCCTTCCCTCATACATTTTTTAGAAGTTCACAATAGAAAACCATCTGTTCTGCCATTGAAACAGTTCAATCATTTGGTGCTAAAAGGATCTATACCTGCCACCTTTTGTTTTGTAGCATGTAACACATCATAAATGCTTCAATGGTATTGAAAAAGCACACAGAATCAAACCAAGGTGCTGCTTTCAATTCTAACCAAATTAATTACAAATATACATTTTATCTGGAAACTCCATTTTTCTCATCAGCAAATTTCTACAGAAGGATGGACTCCTTCACCAAACCATAGCTAGCTTCTTTCAAGGTGTGGTTGGAAAGGGGATAGTGAAAACCTGTGTGTGTGTGTGTGTGTGTGTGTGTGTGTGTGTGTGTGTGTCTGTATTTCTGTGTGTGTGACAGCCATCTAACAAACATCTCTCAAGCTTTGTGTACTGGGCTTCTGTCATCACTGTTAGATTTGTTTCCTCTTTGTTACTCCCAGCAATTTATGGGCCCCACCCACCTTGGGCTCCCTGCCAAAAGGCTTCCTCAAGTGCCTTATTATTATAGCCCAGTGCATGTACAGCAGTTCAATAAGTTTGCAGCTCTCCATCTCCAAACCTCGAGCAGCTGACCTCAACTTCCCTCTCAGTAAGGGACTAAGAAGAAAGACATTCCACTGAAGAGTGGTCACCTGGGACAACAGGGTACACTCCACAGCGCTTGGCAGGTGGATCATATTATCCTCCTAAGTCTTCCCTCCTTCCAGTGTGATTAGCCAGTTTTTACTCAAATTTCTTGTAACCCTGCTTCTTCCAGGAGTGTACTATAGAAAGGAATGTTCTCCTCTTCCTGTCAACAAGTCACAAATCTATCCATGTCCACCTCTAGTTACATTTGCATGCACAAAGCCCAGGGTTTGATCCCTGGCACCAAAAAAATTAAAATAAATTAGCAGCTCTTAATTTTAGGGGCTGGGGATATGGCCTTGCATATCCATTTATAACTGCCCTTTCCCCTCTAGCTAAGATAGAAGGTCTATCTTCTAACAAAGGCTACTTGGGCTGAAGAGCTGTGGAGCTCTGTTGAGAGCCTAGAGCTGGTATGAAAACTGTATTAAACCAAAGGTGTCTGGAAGTCAACAGGTACAGAGACTTCTTGGGCTTCGCTTACTGACTAAAAGAAGGAACTTCTTGGGGCTATGGAGATGGCTCTGTAAAGTGCTTCCTTGGCAAGTGCAAGGGTCTGAGTTCAATCCCTGGTTCCACAAAAATAAATAAATATAAATAAATAAATAAATAAATAAAATAAAAGAAGGAACTTCTGAGAAAGGAGGCTGCCATAGGTTCTCTATTGGAATGGCTTTTACTCCCAGGAAGGATACCAGAAAAAACCTATCATAAATCCCCTATCTAGGGAGAATTATAGCCATAAAAAGAGGAAAGAAGCCAGTACCTGTATAAACAAGGATTATCATGAACTGTCATATCCTCTCCTAGCTCTTCTATAAACTCATTTCTTTATCCTGAGACACTTCTTTGCTATTCCCCTCAAAGCTCCTCCCCTCTTTGTTCTACTAAATTAGATATATAAGCCTGTAACTTTAACAATTAAGCAAGTTATTTCTTTTTGGTAGTGTAGTCACATTTTCTTCTGTTAATCCATCTCATTTCAGTTAACTCACAGTCCCCCAGCACTGAACCTAAAAGCAAGAAGGAAAAGCTTTCCTTTCCAATACTTCCACCCTCTCTGACCTTGCTCTTGCATTTTTTTTTCCTGTTTCAGCATCTATTTCTTACGTTTTTATCACTGTCAAAATTATACTTTAATACCTTCTATCTTAAATAAACCAAATAATCCTCTCTTGACCCCAGACCCCCTCTCAGCTGCACCAAGGAAGCTGGCCACTCTTCTTCTTCAAATACTTTGTGTTATTCTTCTTGGTCTCTTTGTTATTTCCATATTTTTCTTCATTATATAAATATCAGTGTTAGCTCCCAGGATATCTTAAGAGCTTAACTGATTCATCTGGATGTGTAACAGGCATGTCAAATGTAACATATCTAAAATCACACTCCTGCTTTTCTCCCTAACTCTACTCCTTTCCAG